TAAGGTCGACCTGTTTGTTGGCTCGTGGCAGCGATTCTGACAGAAATTCCAGGGCTTGTCTTATTAATACCCCTATCTGTCTGCAAGGTTAACTCCACCCTCTTCTCGGTTCTACCCAACGCTAAAGGAGATGACTTAAGTCCCGCCTACGAGGTACGTATTAGATCAACCTAGCTATCAAGGGGCCTGTCACTCACAGTGAACAGCCTACAGTACGACCTTGACCAAGATTAAACATTCTTAATTGCCAAACATCTGTTCTCTTGAGAATTTCACTATCAGGTGTGAAACTTCCGACGCTGGACGCCGGCCTGTCTAGAAATGTCTATCAGACCACGAATTCCCCTGCTTCAGTTTGATCAAACGGCCCCACTCAGTCTGTGTTATGTAACTTTTTATGACACTAAAGTCGGGTTAAGGGGAGCTAATCTAAGGTGTGGTACGAAGTTATCTCCCCCTTTACTTGCCTCTACAGACTGGGCAGGAGATACAATTTATGACATAGACACGAGAAAGGAATTCCTATCCAAGGTAATATTACCTAAAGCAAGGTTGCTTTGTCTGGCTAAGACGGGAAACACAGTTTAAACAATTCTAAAATCCCTTATAGTGGTTTTAGAACTATCTTAGGCTCAGTGTCTATTGCTTATAATTCTCTGTCCTTCTCTGAACATAAGATATTATTAAACACAATATAACTTCTGAGACCACTGAGGTCATTTCGTCACACTGGGGAAAAATCATACATGTAATACTGTAGATCTCTCTCTCATTTTGTGCATGTTAACCACCATTCATCTGAAGCGAGTTCATGGTAATGAGGTTTTACTATGTATAAATGCTAGCAGTATTTGTGTCTGTTGGCTAACTGTAATGTGCACAGCTAAATTGTCTCAGCCCAGTGTGGCTCTAATGTGCATGTAACAGATGTGTAGTCTTCATACCAAGTAGCCAGGAATAACATAGCATACAGCAGTTAGAAGCTTGATTATTCAAATATTTATAATTAAATAAACTTATTCTCATGTGAATTCTGGGGTAGCTTTTGTGAAGAAAAAAGAATTAAACCCCACCCCACCCCCCCCCCCCCCCCCCCCCCCCAGCCACATTTGGAAGGTATTCTGCCCGATTGGGCATCCCTGCCAAACACTCCAGCATTTTACCATCTTGGATCCCAATTTTTAAAAAACAAATCAAAAAGCAAGCGTGGGACTATTTTGGCCTTTCAAATTGTAAACAAAATTGTAATATACCTCAAAATGGAAATGACTGTTAATTTGTTTGCATATTAAAGCTTGTAGTTTTTATTATAGGCACATCAGATGTTAGGAGAACAGCATAACTTGAATGTCTTTGCATTGGAACCCACAGGGGCATAGGAATAAAGGAAAGCTAAAAAAACATGGAGAAGGAAGTTAGAATGGGGAGGAGATGGGGAGCTAATAGCGAAGGATAGAACGACTTGGCGTGAGTTGGTTGAGGGCCTATGCTCCATCGGGGGATAGAAAGGCAGAAGAAGAAGAGATGTTAGGACAGTTAGCCTTGACGCCTGCACTTGACATGTAAATAAAAAAAAATATGAAAAATAAAAATTACTGTGCAACATGTATGAATAGCTTTGTTATTTTCCACGGAATAATATATTACTAAATGCTGACATCCTAAAATATTCAAACATTAACCTTTTGAATATGAAAGAGTTCAGGAACATTACCAATCCCTGTAGGAGTCTTTGTTGCGTAGTAATTAGATGCGTTCCTGCTGGCCCTTAAGTTCTTGGGTTCGAACCTGCATTGACGCAGAATGTGTTATTAACTGACCTTTGTTCCCAGGTTAGCCCAGGCTAAATTGGCTAGAAGCTAATGTCCTGAAAAGTAAAGGGTGCTTTAGTGGTGTTGATCACATCGGTCGCCATATGCCAGTTGGCCTTTAAAAGTATAGTCTGGTATCACCTGCCTAATGTGTCAGTGGCATGCATTTTTAATTTAAAAAAAAACAAAAAACTGGCAGAGTATTTAAGGATCCTTACTAATCTGTGTTTGGTTGTTGGCAAATTGTAAAGTATGGCTTTTACTAATGCTACCTCTCTTAACACTTCTACAGTAGCCACAGTATGTTTATTTCTTTAAGTTTACACTTTTGAAATTGTTTTCATCTATAAACTAAAAGCTAGCAAATAAAAACTCTTTTTGTTATGGATATAAAATAAAAAATACCAAAGAAATACCATGTTAGTTAGATGTATAACAGAAATCAAAATTAAAATACCTTTTATGTTAAATATGTAGTTTACAAGGCAACAAAGAAATGCCTTTTTTGATGAATGTATAACAAAACAGTAGCCAATAATTATCTTCTGTTTTGTAGAAATACGATGAAGTGTAGCAGAGAAATACCTTCTTTGTTGAAAATATAATGAAAGGCAGCAAGGAAATATCTTCTTTGTAGGATATGTAACATATATCCTTCTTTGTTGGATATATTACATAAAGAATAGCAAACAAATACTTTTTGTTGTAAATATACAATTAAAATAAATAGGAACGAATAAATGATTTATTTATTGTTGGTTTATAAAAAGTTTGTTATGACATACATTCTATAATGTGCATATAAAAACACATGGATGCAGATAAATACCTTTTGACTTTTTGAATACATTTTTTTCTTGATGAAATATGCTTTATAACTTTGTTTAGCAATACTGAAACCTTTGCAGACTTTGTTTAGCAGTACTAATTGTCCTGATAGTCAGCCCTTATATGTCTTATTCTTCTTCTTCCTGTTTACCAGCACCAGCTGTAAACTCAGGCAGAACATTCTGGTTGTTCAGCCATTGCTGGAGTTTTATTCTAGAACTTCAATTTGTGCATGCACATCCAGTCTGGCATCTTTGTATGCAGACTGTTGGTTCCTAGTCTCTCAAGCAGATGCACGCAGATTTTGAAGGAAACCCCTAAGTAGTTGACTCTCACAATATGCTAGTTTGGGAAAGGGGGGGGGGGGAAGAGGGTCTGTTCAATTCTGCATTGAGTCAACCTGGCCTACAGTGGATTTCAGGTAAAGTCCTGGAAGTAAAAGTGACTGATGTGATGTTGACAGCATCACACATTGTGTGCCAGTTGGTGTTTACAAATATTAATCTGGTAGCAAATGCCGTTGCACAACTGGTGTGAACAAGAGTCTGCTCTACTTTACTCTCCTTGTACTTTTGATGTTCAGGTAAAATTAAACAAGTAAAGGAACCTTTTCAACGCCTTTAGGAGTATAGGGCATACAGGGCTAGACCTATATTTTATAGACCAACGGCACAAGATGGGTGATGTGGTCAGCATCACGCCGGTCGCCTCTACTTCTCGGGACTGCTCCCGGTACCCACTCAAAGCTGGGTCCACCTGGGAGCCAAGGTCATTTTTGAAGAAAAGTCCGACTTGATGTTCAGATACACAGTTACAATGTTTTGAAAACTATGGACATTTGAATTCATTGACTGACTTCCTGGTTGGGTTCGGGGGCCCAGTGTGAGGAAAAAAAAATTATACAACCACTGCCTCCCTAACAAAAACCCCCAAAAAGTGTAGTCGCAACCTATGCCCAGCATTTTTTGGCTGCTGCGGTTTTTCTAGGCAAATTTTACGCTCAGTAGTTTGCCTTTGCTTCCTGAACCGTCAGCTCTCGGTATCACTGTAGAAACCAATGCAAGACTGTCAGCGGCCAAATCGCCTGCAGCTGGAATCGAACCCAGTACCCCAGTATTATGAAGTGGGTTCTCTACGCCTAAGCTCTTTCATAAACATGTTGTAAAAGTGCACTAATTAAGGATGTTTTCTTTGAGTCTGAGTGCATCTGTCTGAAAGGCATGGAACCAAAAGTCTGCACAAAAATAAGCCGTTTATTTCTTAGAAGAAGAAGAATTCAGACTTATTTTTGCTTTTTTCATATTATATGCATTTCTGAATGCTTCTGCCTCTGCCAGTTGTTAATTAACCCACATTATTTCAGCAAGGATATCCCAACTAATACTTTTTTTTTTAAAGTTGTTTTTCACTTTTATTTCTTAATAAAACAGTCTCTTCTGATAGAAGTTACAATAACTTTTACGGCTTTTAAGCTGATTGTTATAAGTAGAAATAGGTTTTTTGAAATCACATTAAGAAAGAATAGATTATTCATGTACACAGATATTAAAAAAATTAGACAGTTTGAACATTAGAAAGGATGTTGTATAATTGTATAAATTTGAACATTAAAAAACATATCAACCTTACATTCCAGGTTAACATCTGGAAAAAGTTTAATACTGTTGTAGTTTTATTGCCTAACACTAAATAGAGTAATGATCTGAATCAGTGCATAAAACAAAAGGTTTGAGTACCTTTCTTTCTTTATCATGCACAGAAAATGATGGGCCAGTTAAGCTTACTCAGCATGGCATGCACAGCCAAGGCACGGATGCGCACGGTAACTCTGACCAGGGCGACGCGGGAAGAGATGCTGCATTTCTCCATACTTGGTGGGTTAGAGAGGAATCATGGGATCTTTATCACCAAAGTACAGCCAGAGTCTAAAGCTGCAGAAGCGGGACTGAAGAGAGGGGATCAGGTATGTTTACTTGCATCAGTTATACTTCTTAACATGTTTTCTGAACTTTAGTCGGTCCCTTATGTAGTTCCATATTAGATGCTGCCATTTGGGGTTGCACGTTAATTAGTGGCATTTCCAGCTTTACAGCAATTGGGTCACCACATAATTGCTCCGCTGCTATGCCAGCCAAGACAACATCGAGGAGAATTGGCTCCTAAACAGCATCCCGACCTGAAAGCTGAGGTATTTTGACCAAGTTAAGTGTCATGGTGGCCTGAAGAGAACAGTAACGGAGGGCGCAGTTTCCAGAAAACAAGGCAGAGGACAACCTACATGAACGTGGATACAAACCTTGGCTATGAAAGTATATAAACAAAAAAGTAAAGGTCCCTTTTCCAGGCATATAGGGCTAGCCCTATATTTTAATAGACCAGTCGGCACAAGATGGGTGATGTGATCGGCATCACGCCGGCCACCTTTACATCCTGGGACTGCACCCGGTACCCACTCAAGGTTGGGTCGACCTGGGAGTCAAGGTCATGTCTGAAAAAAAAATGTCCACCTGCGATGAAAGTATATGGGGCTGTAAAGTTGGCTTGAGACTGAGACTTTTAGCCTACCAGGAAGAGAAGTGACATTCTATGAAGAACTTGCTGATTGATTTTGATGATGTCATAAGTTTGACAGAACGGGACAGTGTAACTCACTTTATGCTGCCATGTATTTGTTTCATCTTTCAGATTCTGGAAGTGAACGGTCACAAGTTCCAACATATTTACTACAACAAAGCTCTGGAAATTCTCCGGGGAACAACTCACCTGTCTGTGACAGTCAGGTCCAACTTGCAGGGTAAGTCGACTTGAAAATTGAAGTTGCCCAGGCGCGCTAGCTAAGTTGGTTGAACCACCTGCGCAGGACCGGGTAACAAACTCTTTTTGGTCTGAGTTCATGCTTGGGAGTGGGCAGAGAAGCCACATATTTCCTAGATTTACATCATCTATCATGGAATCAATCTATCATGGTTGCAATATCCATAGTACCGAGCCAAAAAGTTAATAACTCATGGTTTCTGGATTTAAAAAAAAAAAAAAAAAGATACTAAAAGCAACAACGAATGAATTATACAGATTTTAAATAGAAAGTTGCAGTTATAGTACCACATAAAGCATAGTACCATTACTTTGGCAATTAGCCATTTGTAATGAATGAACATGTAAAATCTACAGTATAAGAAGAATACTTTCATTGAACTTTCTTCCGGTGTCGGTTCCGGGGCTCCATTATGGGGGAGGGATGAAATAAACCAGTTGCCTCTCTAACAAGCATGTTGTAAAAGATGGCTTAGGGGTTTTCCTTGACGTCAAAGAGCATCTACCTGAGAGGCAAGGAACCAACAGTCTGCGTACAAATAAGCCATATTTGTAAAACGCATGTGCATGCAAAACTCAAGTTCTGGAACAAAACCAAAGTTAAGAAGTGGACGAACAACCAGAACTTTCTACCAGAGTTTACAGCCAGTGAACAGGAAGAAGAAGAAGAAGAAGAAGATTTAACCTTCCTGGGTGCATTTAAATTACGGCGAACAACAGATTTGATGAAATTCACGGCATAGAGGTAAAAATAGCAATTTCTTGCAGATTTCAAGGTGCTGAGCGTGAATATGACAAGGAAAAGTGAAATAGGCTACATAGCTTGGTTTTGTTTGTTTCCATTTTTTTTTTTAGAAACTTGAACAAATTATCTATATATAACAGAGAAGAATGTTTTTTTTAATTAAAAAGACACTCTTATTTCTTCCCAAATACACCGCCCAAACCTTACCCTTTTTCTTTAAAGTCACAAAACAGCAACAGATGAGTTATTGGATTCCAAAGAAGATGCCCCATATCTTTTTAACTAACTGCTTTGACGGTCACTGAGCAAGTAACGAATAAGAGGTATAGAGCACTATGATGGACCCATTATACATTCTGGTGCAAGACCACTTCTACTTCCTGCGCCGCTTCCTCTAAAGTCTGCATAACTGCTCAGGATCATTTTTATTTGTCACAGGATTAAACACATCATTAGCTTTTTTCCTTATTTTCTTTTAACCGATTGTAAAACATCTGGTCGGCTAAGGCATTGCAAGTCCGACTCGTAAGCCAGCATACCGCGATCGAAACCCACTGCAGGCTGCGTGGATTTTTGTCATGGTATGGGACGTCGCAGGTTGACCCAGCCTAAAATGGGTACCAGGATGTGCTGTCCTGGGAAAGTAAAGACAGCCGGCGTAATGCTGACCACATTACCCACAGAGTGCTGATGGTCTGTAAAAATATGGGACGCTCTGCCCATATGCCCGATGCGCCGAAAGGCGTGAAAAGGGATCTTTACTTTACTTTACTTAAAACATCTGGTCTGCAGACCCATGCAAATTTCCTCTTTAATTTTTTTTGCAAAAGTTAAGGAAATTTGTGAGCTTACTTGAAAGATGATCCAGTCATGTCAGTGGCTTTTACAAAAGTTTTTCATCAAACCGAGTTTAATGTGCCAGGGCAGTAGTTTTTTTTTTAAATTGTGTGATGTGTGTGTCGTGTGTGTTTCTATCAGTTTCTACCAGTGCTGGTATTGCACATTTTTATCTTCAACCTTCGGAGAGGTCACCAAGGACCAGTCTCTCTTCATGTAGTGTGAAGTCTTTGCTCGGCTGTCCAATTCACATTAGAAACAACAGTACTTTGTGTATCCCATCTGCTGACCCAACAACAGAGCTTCTATCTTTAGGTCAGAACAGAGATGCCAGCAATGCTGGCTGCATTGAATACAGTGCAACAGGACCATTTGCATCGGATCAGAAAATAGATCATTTTCATTTCTGAAGTAATGCACAGACTGACCATGACCATGCAAAGAAGAAAAAAAAGTTTCTCTTTGGCCATGAACAAGATTGTTCACTTGTTCTTGTATAAGAATGTGTGGTGCATATGACACACTAGGGCATATTAATGGCTCATTATAAGACAATGAATGCTTTGGAACAGCTGGTATCAGTTCTCTTACAAAGGCAAATGTTTCAATGGGAATGTCTTTTGGAGGTTTTGGAACAGGAGATCTCTCACCACGTGAGACTGGTTAGAGAGCAGACTGTATAAGTGGATACACTCTAGTCGGTTTTGTGTGAGTGTGTATGTATGTCCCCTTCTGACACAGGCGTTGTCCTGGTTCCCGATGTTGCATTCAAAATTTACAGATATATGCCTTTTTCAATATCCCTATGATGACCTCTTTTCTGGCTCACAAAATACCTCTCCCTGCAAATATAACAAAAATTATCTGCCTGATAACACACTTTTGTGGTGTCGCTCTTGCTGGATTTAAGCTGCAAGGAAATTACTTGTTCACACTCCCTGAGTTTGCTTTTTACTAATGATTGCATTATTTTTGGTAATCAATGATTGCTATTCGTAGCAACTTTGTGCTGTCAGTGCCAGCATGGACAGTCCTAGAAAAGCATAAGCGCAAAGTTACAACATGTGAGATGAGATGTATAAGAAATGCTGAGGGAAGATCAAGAAAGAACAAAATCACCAGTGAAGAACTAAGAGTATTTGTAGGTACAATACAGGTAAATGATTTCATAGAACATCAAATAATCAAATGATTTGGTCATCTGGTTAGAATGGAACAAAATCAGCCAGGCGTTAAGAGTATACTGCATGCAAACAGCAGACTACAAGGCAAGAGGCTGGCCAAGAAAGAAATGGGTGTAGGCAGTGAAAGTGACACTACATAAACGCAGTGGGATCTAAGTACAAGCTAAAGGCAGGAAACTGCTGCAACACTTTATGGCATAATCCAGTGTTTCCCCAAACTTTTCTTGGTCGCAGCGCCTTTTTTCAATTAAAAATTTTCCACGACGCCCTAACCTAAGTAAAAGTATGGCTATTCGTGTCTTGGTTAAATTAATTATGAAGCATTTACATTTTTTTGCAGCGCCCCTGTGAAGCGGTCACGGCTCCCCGGGCGCTACAGCGCACAGTTTGGGAATCACTGGCAAAATCTGTAGGACAAAAAATGAAGAAGAAAAACAACACTTCCTTCAAATGGTGTGGGTTACACAATCTGTTGCATACTGCAGTTGAAAATAAGGCATTTTTAAATGTTAACATTTGTACTATGGGCAGGCTAGTTAGTTAATATGTGACCACATCTGAGTCTTCTAGGCAAGAGCCAGTAAATAAATAAATTTTACAGTCTTTTTCTGTTCACCACCCCAAAATTAGTAACGATCGATTACTTTCTTGTCGGCGCCCGAATCCTGTTGTCCAGTGTTGTTGATATTATTTGACAGAAATTGTGTGTTTTTTTAATCTTTCAGAATTCAAAGAAATGCTGAGGACTTCGAAGAACACTCCTCGCAAAGTGAAACGAGAAGATGGAAATATTCCTAACCCCAAACAGAGACTCTCTGTCCCTGACCTTGAGTCAACGCTGTCAGTGTTTCAGACAGAACCAGTAGATGAAAAGAAGACAGAGAAACGAGGTGGAATTTTTGGGTCCAACTCACGACTGCGAAAGGCCCTAACTCGAATTAACTTTATGCCTAAAAGTTCTAATGGGTGAGTTTTATTTGAAAACAAGAATGACTCAACTCTTTCAGTCCCAATACATATACAGTGACACGTGCAATGAACAAGTCACACCGTACACTTATCAAGTATCTAGGACTACTTAATAGCGTCAAACTTACAAGTCATCACTCCCGCTCAACTTTAATAGACGACGCCCGACACATTTTTTGACCACTAAAGTCTATTCACTGTATTTTGACAGGACAATGAATGGCATCACAAGGTACTAACTGCATACTGCTACCATCATTCTTACTACCAGTACAAATGCATTCAGGACGCTCTGGAAAACTTCTGCTACCACACTATGTTCCGTGGCTGCTACGGACCAATATTGCCTGCTCGCGCAAATCCCCTGCTCGTGATTACGTGACTGTCTCTCTGACATCTACCACTTGGATACACAGTCACTAGAGAGATCATACAGGCTGATGCACAACACTGGGGAAATTATCCAGACACCCCGTCTGAGTCCTGCCACGTACCTTGAGATCTGCTGATCTCACCTCACAAACCTCTGTCACACTGGATCGGGCTACTGTGGCAACTTCCACAGATAACCCAGGCACCTAACTCCAGTGTAACACATAGCTGTGCAGGGCAACACCCAGGCTAGAACATACCTTCATGCACGTCATCCGAGCTTCCTGATTTTGCGCTACAGCTGCGCACGTAATAAAAACATAAGTTATCAGGGGCTCTGACGATGCGTCCTTCCACTACAATGTCGTGGAGTCAACTGCTCTTTTCTCTCCGTAGAGTTGACTCTTCCTCTCACTTTATGGGATGAACTGTTTCTTATAACACACAATTCACCATCTCCACGTGAGTTTTCTCGTGCGACCATGGTTCACATGCATTCATGAATTTCCCCATGATTTCCTCCCATTGCACGGTTATACAGGTCCTTGACCCTGTGATCCCGGCAAATGGGTCTGCATTTAATTTACATATTACTCCCATAAGTATGAATATACACTTCAAGGGCCGTCACTGCTGAAATACATAGAAACATGAAACTAGAAAACAGAAAGAAGAGGCGGAAGAAATTTGATCTTTTTTAGTTTTTATACACATGCTTTTTATAATAACAGTAAAATCCTGGCAGTCTCTCTCAGTGACCCTAGATGTTGGCTCCCAGCATTGGCATTGAGCCAGGTGATATTGGAAGTGAATTTTGTCTGTAAAAACTTACTTTGGTACCCATGCTGACCCAGCCTAAAATTTGTGTCTAGAAAACTCTAGGGAAATAAATGCGGCTTGCTTGAGGCTGGCCATATCACATACTGAGTGCTGATTTGTCTATAAAATATAGAAGGACGCTGGTTAAGCCCTCTATACCCATTACCAAGTGGAAAGGGTCCTTTACTTTTGTTCATAAGTTTGTTTTATGTTTTACTGGATAGCTTTTTTAAACATGCTACCTGCTCTGATACCTTCTTTTCCAGTGTAAAAAGCTATTTCCAGTGAAATGTCCAGTTGTTATTGTTGGGTCTTTTGTTTAAAATGGCAGCTGCACCCCAAGTATTTGGTTTTTTTGTTCCATCTTTTTTAATAGACAGCATTGCCAGCAGGTTACATTTCTAGCAGAGTTGTTGGCAGCAATATGATGTATTCGTCACTCTTCTGTCTAGGACTAGGTAGGATATCGGACATGCCCCAACATGCAGCCGGATTCAGTGCTGTAATTGCTGGGTCAGTCCCCGTAGAGTGGGTGTCTTCCTGCTGAGAGCATCACACAAAGCAGGAACTTCAAAGCTCCAGAGATTTCCAAAACTTAGAACTGTATAAACTGAAAGCCAATGTCCAAAATCCTCAGCTCCCCATGTGGGTTCCAGGGTCCTGTTTTGGGGAAACGAGAAAGATCCACAACCCCCTAACAAGTGTCTTAACAGACAAATACCTGGGGCGGTGTTTCCTTTGAAGTTGGAGCTTATCTGCTTAAGAGGCCAGGAACAAACATTCTGCATGCTATAAGCTGCATCTGTAAAATGGATTGCATTCAAAACTCACATTCTGCAAGAAAATCAGTCCTGAACTTTCCCCCTGGAGTGTGCAACTGGTGAACCCTAAAGAAAAAATGAAAGTGAAACTATTTTCAGCAGAGTTTGTAAGAACATATTTATGTATTATTTGTTTGTTTTTAAAAAAAATTTTCACAGTAAAGAATCTGTAGCTATGAACCACTCTGATGAAAGCTTATACTCGAAACCATCAAGAAAGTCATCCACCTCATCTTCATCTTCCAATCCGGGATGTACCCTCAATAGTCATCTGAGTGCTAGTAACCCAGACATAACTACCATGGGTCTGCTGGCAGATGAGCGCAATGACGTGCCGGAACACGCTGTCAAGGTTTATAAGTCTGATCAGTCCTTCAAATATCTCCTGATTCATAAGGTAAGAAAGAAATCAGTTACTTTTTTGACTTTATTCCATTGTTTCTTTCAGAAAGAAAGCGTGATTGTTTTTAAGCTTGACTATACTGTTTATTTCAGAAAGTAAGTTATGCATTATTTTTAGATATGACTTTCACACTACTAGATATAAAACCTAAGAAAAAGTAGAACTGGTCAGCTTCACAACATCACAAACACAAATGACAAGTAAGTGTTGAGGCTAGAGAACCTACATCAGCACATAACATAAATCAGCTTACCACAGGCACACACAAGAATACACAGAATCACTTAACTGATGTATTACTGATAACCATCACATTGCTCTCCAGTCAGTTGAATTAATCAACATTTAAGTTCACACTTCTAAGCCTTTTTTTTACCTTCTTCAGGAAGTAAGCATTTAGTTGTTTTGTAGGTATGACTTGACTAACACGATGTATTTCAGAAAATTATAAATCATTTTTTTTTAAAGATATGACTTTCGCACTACTGCACTATTTGGCTCCGAAGATAATTAGTTGTTTTGTGAGCATGACTTGACTAAACTTTTAAGTTGCCCCTTTTCAATAGGTGCAGAAAGTTAGTTAAAACAATAATACCTAGATTCTAATATCTTTATTACTAAATGAGCCTTCTTTTTTTTTTCTTATGCAGTGTATAACACTACTAAGAATATATTACCTTCCTTATTTGTTGGTGCATAAGGCACACATTTTTATTCTCATAATAAGCCTTAAAATTAGGCTGCATCTTATACAATGAAGAAAGGCCTTCATGTACTGTTATTTTTCATAGTTGCCTGCATTCTAGTTTTCCTCTTTCAGGATATTTGAATAGTCTGTGTTCAAGCGATAACTGCGACCTGTTAATAGGACAGAAAGGAGAATAGTATAATGTAGGAAATGCGTGGCTGTGGAGCCCCCAATTTCTCTGTAGGTAGTTGATTGAAAATATGGACAAAATGTAAAAAAAAAAAAAACCTTCAAAGACTAGTAGCCATGAAAATACTCACTACACTATAGTTCTTGCTTGCTGTGCCCATGGTACTAAGTAAGATGCCACTGATGATGATTTTCACAGATGATTATTTTCTAACACAAAACTATACCTGAGGACAGAATACTAGCAGGAGTGGTAGTGCATGTGCACTGTGGATTTTTTTTCTTCATTTTTTTGGGGTGTGCACCAGCAAATACAGTAGGTATAATTTTTAATGCAGAATTTGTTTCCCCTCTGCAGGAAACAACAGCAAAAGAAGTTGTCATGCTAGCACTTCAAGAGTTTGGAATTACAGAGCCCAGCTGGTATGTTATATGCTACCTTCTTACTGCCGATGTAACAAACAGAACTATTGAACCAATAGTCTCTGTCTCTCTCTCTCTCTCTGTCTCTCTCTGTGACTCTCTCTCTGTCTGTCTCTCTCTCTCTCTCTCTCTGTTTCTCTCCCCCCCCCCTCTCTCTCTCTCTTCCTTCCCTTTCTGCAAACACTTGAAAAAATTTAAAAAAAAGATTAGTCACACATTTACAGCATGATTGGTATGGGACAGTGGTTCCATTCCCCCCCCCTCTCTCTCTCTTCCTCCCCTTTCTGCAAACACTTGAAAAAATTTAAAAAAAAAGATTAGTCACGCATTTACAGCATGATTGGTATGGGACAGTGGTTCCATTCTCCTCCCCCCCCCCCCCTCTCTCTCTCTTCCTTCCCTTTCTGCAAACACTTGAAAAAATTTAAAAAAAAAGATTAGTCACGCATTTACATCATGATTGGTATGGGACAGTGGTTCCATTCTCCCCCCCCCTCTCTCTCTCTTCCTTCCCTTTCTGCAAACACTTGAAAAAATTTAAAAAAAAAGATTAGTCACGCATTTACAGCATGATTGGTATGGGACAGTGATTCCATTCTCTCCCCCCCCCCCCCCCCTCTCTCTCTCTCTTCCTTCCCTTTCTGCAAACACTTGAAAAAATTAAAAAAAAAAAATTAGTCACGCATTTACAGCATGATTGGTATGGGACAGTGGTTCCATTCTCCCCCCCCCCCCCCCCCTCTCTCTCTCTCTTCCTTCCCTTTCTGCAAACACTTGAAAAAATTTAAAAAAAAAAGATTAGTCACGCATTTACAGCATGATTGGTATGGGACAGTGGTTCCATTCTCCCCCCCCCCCCCCCCCCCTCTCTCTCTCTTCCTTCCCTTTCTGCAAACACTTGAAAAAATTTAAAAAAAAAGATTAGTCACGCATTTACAGCATGATTGGTATGGGACAGTGGTTCCATTCTCCCCCCCCCCCCCCCCCCCTCTCTCTCTCTTCCTTCCCTTTCTGCAAACACTTGAAAAATTTAAAAAAAAAGATTAGTCACGCATTTACAGCATGATTGGTATGGGACAGTGGTTCCATTCTCCCCCCCCCCCCCCCTCTCTCTCTCTCTCTCTTCCTTCCTTTCTGCAAACACTTGAAAAAATTTAAAAAAAAAGATTAGTCACGCATTTACAGCATGATTGGTATGGGACAGTGGTTCCATTCTCCCCCCCCCCCCCCCCTCTCTCTCTTCCTTCCCTTTCTGCAAACACTTGAAAAAATTTAAAAAAAG